CTCGGTCTCTGAGATAGTCAGCGATGATTATCTGTAAATACGGCGGTACTTGGAAGTTTTTCAATGCTTCAAGTATGTACTCTTTGCTCCCATACATCCATCGGGTGCCATCTATAGCTCGCTTTGCTATCTCCCATACCTCGCCGATTGCGTCCACAGTGGAGCTGCCTTTGCGGAACCCAAACTGTCTCGGTGAGAGTTGACGCGTTACAGCTGCCTCCAGCCTTGTGTGGATTATGCGCTCGAGGATCTTTTCGACTGTGTCTAGCATGCAGAGTGGTCTGTAAGATGATGGCTCCTCGGTCGGCTTGTTCCCTTTGGGTATAAGGACAAGCCGCTGTCGCTTCCATGGTCTGGGGAATATTCCATCGGACATGCACGCGTTGAAGAGTCCCACATAGGTTTGTGGGTTTGTCTCCATCGCAGTGCGGAGTACGGCATTTGGGACCCCATCAGGTCCCGGTGCTTTGCCGTCCTTGATCCGAGTTAGAGGTTCGAGGATTTCTGCTTCTGTAGTGGGTTCTATTTCAAGTGGCGGAATTCCTTCCGTCACTCTCTGGGCTGACACTTGCTCTGGAAATAGAGTTCCCACTATGTTTGCCAGCAGATCTGAACACATTGGCGGCGGTGAAATGAACACTCGCAGTTTCTTCATCACCAGCCTGTATGCGTAGCCCCAAGGGTTCGCATCTGCGTCGTCACAGAGCTTTTCGAAGCATTTTCGCTTGCTTTCTTTGATCTGCTGATCTGATCTGATCGGAAGGCGTCTGCATTCTTTATAGTCTCCTTGGAGCCTCTAGAATTCCGGGGATCCTCTCGAGCGTTGATATAGCCGCCTTGTGTGGTGGCACTCCCGCCTGGCACTAGCTATATCTGCAGTCCACCAGTATGTTGGGCTACGATTGCCAGGGTTCGGCCTTTTCCTTAGCATGGAGGCGTCACATGCAGCCAACGTTTGCATAGCCAATTGGCTTGCTCTTTCTGAGGCTGTCCCGCTGGTCTCGTAATGCTCGAACATGGCTCGGGCCATGTCCGGCTCCAGAGTGTCGACTTTGTACCTGATCTGCATGCCCAGGACAGAGTTACGTGCTGCAACGTCCTTGATTTCGTAAATCAGTGCCAGATGGTCACTCCCAGTGTAGATGTCGCTAACCTTCCAAGTTGTCCTCGGGCTAAGGCTACTGCTCGCGAACGTTAGGTCTATTATGGACCCCATTCCTGCTCTGCCGAATGTCTGCTGGCTGCCTGTGTTTAGCAGCACGGCATCGAGCGTCGCGAAGCTTTCTAAGAGTGCCTGTCCCCTTGGGTTGGTTCTCGGGCACCCCCACTCCGTCGCCCATGCGTTAAAGTCGCCGGCAATGATGGTAGGGTGTTTCTCCCGGGCATCATCCGCAATACCTTCTAGCACCGCCGTCGCTTGCTGCAACGTGAGGCTCGGTGGCAGGTTGCAGCTGTAGATGTAAACATCATTCAGCCGTGCATTCCGACACATGTGTGCCGTAGCTGCTGCGTTGGGCTGCCACAGCTCCATATCGCTGCTTTTTTCCTGCAATCAGCAATCCACTCCCCGGGATTGCGATTGCGGTATTGCTCGTTTATGACTGCTACATCAATGCGGTGTTCTCTGACGGTTTGCTCCAGTAGCTGCTGGGCCACCTCACAGTGGTTGAAGTTTATTTTTTAGATGATTTTCATCTATCCCTCATCTGATGGATCGCCTTTTGGTACTGCGGGCACCTCGAACTTGTCGTTTGGTGCTTCGTGTCCTTCGCCCGGTGCCGCTTGCAGAGAATGCAGGTCGGCTGGACTTTGCAGTCTTAAGCCTGGTGGTCTATTTCTGTGCAATTGTAGCAGCACTTTGTGTAGTCTTGGGCAATTTTGCAGTTCGTCGCGATGTGCCCAAACTCCATGCACTTAAAGCATCTTCTGAGCGTGGTTTTGGGCCGTATCCGGCAATACCGCCATCCCAGGCGGATTCTTCCTTTCCCTATAAGCGTCGCTGCTACTGCCGGCGAGACTTTCAGCGTCAGGGTCTGGGTGCTCCTGTAGGCTGGTCGAAAGGCAATGACCGCAGCCTCATTTATGGCTACCCCTGCCTGCTCCTTTAGATCCGCCAGCACTTCCTCTTGAGTGGACACCTCGTCTATGTCCTTTACCTCAATGATGGCCGTTTCAGTAAGGCTTCTGACTTCGGCCGTGCTTCCGAGCTCCTCCTGCACAGCTGCCTGCATTTCCTGGGTTTTCGGGTCTGCCGATTTCTCCAGAACTAGTAAGAGCTCTCCCTTTGCGGTGTGTCGCACTCCTTGCACTGTTTGCCCTAGGGTCTTAAGGCTTGGCTCATTCTTCACCTTCCTAAGGATGCCTGCGTATGAGACCGCGCTAGTGGTAGCGATGACTATTGCATCGCTACGCGGGGGTCTTGGTCGCGGTTGTTGCGGCTTCGGCTTACGCCTAGCTGCGACCGTTACCCAGCCCTCCGCTCGCTCCTTGGGGATCGCCGCTGGGGCTTGGGGCTTCTTGTGACTTCTTTGCCTTCTGGGACTTTTTGTGCCCATGCTTTGCCTTCTTTGGGGTTGGGACGGGTGGGTGGTGCTTCGGGCCTCTGGCCGCGCCCTCTTTCCCACCCGCTCCGTTCTATCCGGCTCCGCTTGCTCTTCCGGATGGCTGGCCTTGGCTTCAGCCTGCTCCGCACTGACCGCCTGTTCCGCGCTGGCCACCAGCCAGTACGATTCCACCTCTCGCTGCAGGTAGTCGATCTCATCTATCAAATCCCTCATTGGATTGGTGATGGATCGCTTTGGAAGCACAATCAGCTTCCTCAGCTCTCTAGCTTTCTGACCCAAGCTCGCCAGTTGCGCCATGGCTGTCTCCCTCGGGGCTGCATGCTCCACTTGGGGGCACTGCAGCGCTGGAGGAAACGACCTCACGCGCTCCTCCACTGCCTGTCTCGGCTGCGTTGGAGATCTGGCGATCGTTGCCCTTCTCCTAAAGGGATTTTCATCATCTCATGCGAATGAGCTTGTAAGCGGAGTGCTACAAGCTGTCGCTGGTTCCGGTTCCGGCTCCGTCTGGTCGCTCATCTCTGATGAGCTCCTTTTTCCAGGGTCTGGCAACCCTGCGCTATGGCAACGTTGTGCGCTGCGATCGTTTCACCGCACTTGTTGGTGGGTGTGATCTGGCAACGCCCTGCCAGCTGATCTGCCGTCGCTTCCTAACACCACTTGCAGAGTGTTTGGCCAAAATTAGCACAAAAACACCCGACAAAGCAAATGGCGCCAATAAATGGAAGAAGGAAAGGAAATCAGGCGCTTACATGCGGTGCCCCTCTTTTCCCGATTAAGTTTACAGCCAAGTGGCCTCTTTCCAGCTTGCGAGCTTGGTGTGGCGTGCAGGTAAGTACTGCAGCAATACAGTGGCTCGAACTTAAGTTCGTTTGTCCTTTTTCCAGGCTGATTCCTGTGTCAATTGATGTTTTTGTACGGAGCGGACCAAAATTGCGACCGCACTCACTAATTCACACAATCTCTCTGTGTGTGTGTGTGTGTGTCTCTACTTCCCTAACATCGCACCTATCTCTTTTCTCTTTCTCACCTACGTGAGACCAGCTTACCCCTCTTCTTTCTCCTGCTCCGGGTACATCCTTTTGTTGTCTGGCTCCGCTCCCGTTCTCCTTGCTGGCTCCTCGTTGCTTCTTTGCCTTCTTCTTCACTTTTACTGGTTTTGTTTTTTTTTTTTTTTTTTAGGCTGCGACCGGCACGTTCAAGAGTTCAAACTTCATTCCCGATCCTCTGTTTTGCGCGTTCCTTCGATAGCCCCGAAATCTGTGTTCTCTGCCCCTAGCCTCTGCTGGTGCTTCGGCTTTTTCCTCGCTCTCACCGCTCTTCTTCACGGGAGTCCGTGAGTCTCTCCCTATGGCGTGGGCAGCAGTCCTCGCTCGGCTCTGTGAGTGGGTGGGAGTTCCTTCGGTCGCGCTAGCGGCTGAGAGTCTGTGCGTTTCTCCCCTACTCATCGTTGCGTGCATTTGCGCTACGGCGTGAGCAGCGGTCCAAGCTCGGTGATGTGGGTGGGCTGGTGGGTGGGTTGAGGTAGGTGGTGTTGGTTGTGAAGGGGCTGCCCTTCACATCCTTGAGGAAAAATCGTGTTGGGTAGTGTAATATAAAAACTTAACCATAAGATTAATGCGACAAAAAGGCTCAACTATAATTTCGGAAAAAAAAAATGTTGTCTTTTGTAGCAAAAACCGATTTATTAAACCGTATTTATTATATAAAATTGGTTTAAATCATTAATTATGATTTAAATAGTTAAACAAAAGCTTGAGCTTAAAAAAATATAATTTATTGATTAATTGTGATTTTATTTGAATAGCTCCAACATGCGATTGTATTTCGGTAAGTGGTTGTTTACATAGGCAGTAAATTGGTCACTCTCTTTGAAATTGCAACCGATTGGCCTTCAGTGAGATAGTTTTCATCAATATTTTCTAAAATAAAACTTTTTACAGGGTCTGCTTCGCGTTTGTTGTTGATCCAAACCTCAAGCAGCGCTGCATGAGTGAACTCATAGACACCTGAAAAATGAAACATTTCCCGAAAAGGGGCAACGGGCCGAAAGCATTAATATTATATTTTAATTGAATAAAAACAGCTAAATTTAACCTTGGTGATTGGTTGTTCTGTACAAAAGTAATATCCTACAGAACACACGTAAATTTGTTAGTATACAGCTAAAACACAATCGAACAACACATGGGGCAATTCAATAACCACACATAACTATCTAAAAACATGTACTAAAAACATGTACTAACAAAAAATCTACATACCATGACCTGTTTTTTCCGTATTAACACTTTCAGTTAATATTTAGGATCGAGCTAACATTCAAGCTACAAATTGTTCAATGTTTCCCAACTTTTTTTACAACTCAAAGCCCGTCTGAGTCAGCTGACTTTTAAAGCGCGCAAAAAATTAATGGTATTCCGTAAAGATGTTCTAAAATTAGTTTTGTTCTATCTTTTTATTAAGTAATCGAAAAATGAAAACCACATTAAAATATTTAACGCAAATTAAATTACAAAAAATGCAAAAATTCATCGTTTAGAAGCAGGGGTGGGTGACGAGAAATTTTTTCTCTGGGATCTTTTTAAAAAGGTTGTTGCCATAGACGCCACACTCACAAGCTCGCGACAAAGTGCTCTGTGAAAAACAGAGGAGAAGAGCGAATTGAGTAAAAACAAATTTGGTCGGTTCTTTTCTGTCACTTGTCTCAATTTTTCTGTAAATAAGCGTTTACACCCCGGAAGTTTGAACCCTTATTTGCGAGGTCTGATTTAAATACAAGTTTACTAATATTATTATTCTTTTAATAAATTAACAATACAAAAAGAATTTGTAATAAGATGCAGATACCGTGACTAACCTAATACTTTTTCTAATAGAAATATGACTAGACTGTCTCCTCCAAGTCTAATTGAACCTGGTAACAACATCGGATTTTCTAATTTATCAATTTATAATTTCAAATTATATGATAGACTTGGGTCACAAAACGTAAAAATATTTGTTTTTGGTTTTTTCACTTACATCACTGTGAAATAATTGTCTTTAAATTGCTAATTTATATGTAGTTATATGGAAATATGTAAGCTTACCTCTGAAATTTTTATTACAAAAATACTACGTTTTTCAATACTTCAAAAAAATCCTATCATAAAAAAATCCAAATCTATCAGAAGACAATTTTGACTATTGTTACACACAAAAAAAAATAATAAATTTATCAGAAAATTCAGGTTTAATTTTTCCAATTTTATAACGGTACATAGTGGAATTAGTGTTCTTCTTCATAGTGTTCATAGTGCTCTTCCTCATAAATCAACTCCTTCCATTGTTCCACAGTATGTTCTCTTTCATCAACGCTATGATCATACGGCTCTGGAGCAGGCTGTAATAGAAAAATAAACCAAAAATATGAAGAGAATTTTTTTTTGTTCTAACTACTATAAGTACTTATCCAAAAAAAATTTGTTACCTAAAATTTTAAATATTTTATCAAAATTCAAGATTTGGCTACAACTAAAGATATATAAAATCAACAAAATCAAAGAAAATACTAAAATATATTTCTTTTTGATTTGAATGTCTTAGAATAGATACAAATATAAGATCATGTTTAACCTTCTTTCTTTTACGTATAAGATATTTAATAATCCTCATCCCGAAACCAAACCAATCACAAACTGAACTAACCAATTTCCGTCCAATTTCTTTCAAACAGAAGCACAGTACTTTGGACGGCTTACTTATTTTTAACCACTTTACCACCTCAGCTCTCTCCACCTGCAATCACGTCTTAGTCCTTTGCCTGAATTCGAAAGAGCGTTTGATCGAATAGGCATGCATATGGAGGTTAAACAACTAATTAGGATGAAGGTAGGCAGCTAAATTTACAATGTCATTTTTAACAAACAGAAAAATATTATTCCGTGTCCAAGAATCACTCCTTTGATAAAAATTTCAATTTTATGGAACATTGTAATACATTTGGATCTAGCCTAGCTTCCAGACTAAACATGGTTCATTTTAATTTTCCCATTTCTGGAAACAAGAAACGCGTAAATTATAAGCTTAAAAAGGTTTTAGACTTCGCGTGGAGGTGCGATCCAACGATCCCGTCAGCTTGGCGGCATCACGCTGCTTGGCCACAATCTGGTTGGCGATGCGATAAAATCAAGGCGTCCGATGGAGCTGAGCTTGCGGCCACCCTCTGGGTGCTTTTCGAACAGGCAGGCGTGCTCGAGGGCCTGGAGAGCCTGACGGGCAGCACCGTCAACGGCGCGGCAAAATGCGGTGGGGTGGACACCGTTGCGCTTGCGACCACCAAAGATCTTGGTGATGGAGCCAACACCAGCGGGACTGCGTATCACAATGACGCAGAATCGAGGAGCAACCAGTCGGGATCTAAGGGGCCAGCTCCTTGAATTTGCCTGACTTGATTATATCCATCTGGTCGGACACCTTCAATTTACCAGTCTTCTTGAGGTAGATGGGAACCGCCTTGGTAACGGCATGCTGGTCAATATCCTTTACTGTGACACCTGGCATCTTTATTGTTAAGGTCAACCGGAAAAAAGGAATCAACATGAAAAAAGCGGAATATCGATGCAGTCTTAAACAACACCCTATCCCGAAACAAGAAATTCCTATACACCGATAGATCAAAAGCGGATGCTTATACATAATTTTCCATTGCGCAAGTGAAAACTCCATTATTGCATCTAAACGATCTATGCTCCATCTTCTCTGTGGAAGCTTACGCTATATTACAAGCAGTAAAATATACAGTGTATCACAGAAAACCTCATATTATTTCATCCGATAGACTTTGTTTAATTATGGCAATCAAAAACCCACATATCACCAACATGTTAATATCCAAAATGAGCAACCTCATTATTCCCAATAAACAAAATGAGCTGATTTGGATTCCAGGTCCTGCTGGAATAATATGAAACGAGGGAGCTGACAAGAAGGCACGCTGGCACAAAAAATAAAAAATCATTGACATTGCCGAAAAGGCAGACGATAGAAAATAAAAAAACATATCTCTCATTGGAACACAAATATAAGCGCTTAAACCAACAAGGGTTACCCACAAATTATCCCAGTGACGCAAAGTCTTCTGCTAAACGGCCCTTCACCCGCTTACGTATTGGACATACTGCTGTCACCCACACACACCTTCTCAAAGGACTTAGTGTTGCTAACTTACCCTTCTGCAAAGCTACCTCACTATCAGCCCAACACGATAAGATTGAGCATACCTACGCTCCCAGCCAAAGAATTAACGCAACCATCTATGGAAAACATCCGCACCATAACAAATTTAATTTCCAAAGCTGGTCTTACAAATAAAATCGATGACCTATAGTAAAGGCAAGCCGAAAGCCCTGAAAGTTAGTGCTAAATAGGCCGTCAGACATTCGGGTGATACAGGGGGACTAACGGATGAAGGCCTGTCCCGCCATAACTGTACTCTCGGACTAGGGGCAATGGTGTTTCGGGTCAGGGCTTGCCCTGATCCAATGCGGCCTTGCTCCTTCGGGTTGCCCTTCTAGGATACGGGGGGATCACGAGCCACCCGTCACTCGCCGTAACTGTAAACTCCGGTGGAAGTGCGACTATACTCTCCTCGTGGGGCGGCTGGTAACAGGTCCTGGTACGGTCAAGTGTCTGCCACGGATGCTGGCGAATTTTAGTCGGGCGGAGAGTAGACAACTCTCGTTGTGAAATTACCCCAATCCACGGTGAAACAGGATATGGTAATGGATGCGTGGCCGAAGGTATATGTATATGTGAACTCTGGATACCTGCCGACATTCAGTTTAATTTAGGCTTCCCAAGGCAAGCGAGCTATGCCTCGGGTGACTATCCCCTTCCCGCCTACTCGTGGGAACAACATGCCAAATTCAAGAACAAATTTCCAAAAACAAGCTGCAAAGGAGCTCGGTACTCCTCTTAAAGTACCGGAGGGACAAGCCAATTCCTCTACATCAACGCATGGGAAACCAGGTCCTAAGAAGATGAAGAAGGAGACTAGGTCGGTCCACCGTCTTCAGGCAGAAAAAGCTGCGAGGAGGGCTCCGATAAGCCAATCGAGCCCATCCAAGCCAGGGGGCCCCGGGGCAAACCGGGCATCGGGGTGGCTGCCAAGCAGAGCGATATCGCGGCTGGTAAGCTCCCGTCAACCTCGGCAGGCGGCGGAACTGCGGCGAAACTGCAGCGCAGAAAAAGAAGCCGTCCTACCGAGACAGGAGGCGCGCTGCCTTTAGGGTAAGACCCTAATTGGCGTCCTGGATAGGGGCGCCAAGGAGGGTAATGTTCCTCGGGACAAATGGCATCTGGTCGATGCGGAGGACAGATATCTGGAGGAGCTCGCGGAGAATGGAGGGTCACCGCCTAAATGTGAGGACGCTGGGTATCATCAAGGCACGCTGAAAGGCATCGCCTGCCAAGATGCTGTCGGCGGCCCTCTACATGAAGGCGGTGGCGGCTCTCAAGAAGGTCTACCCAGGGGCCAAACTGGAGGCCGAAAAATAGGAAGACATCCCCAGCAGACCGAGGGCCAGAGCGTGGGTCTCGGTGAAGCCTGCAGCCATATGTCAGGTGTCTTGGACGCATCGATGTCGGAAAGGATATGGAGTCCTCCAAGAGCGATGCCGACCACACAATGGTGGAGGTCAGTCTCAGGAATGTCCCTGACACTCCTGCAGATAAACCTCCACAATTGTAAGGCAGCATGCGCTGCCCCACTGCTCCACCTAGCCAAGGGTGGAGCCGATATAGTCCTCGTTCAGGAGCCCTGGAAACCGGGTTTCCGGTCCGAGGACTCAAGACTATAAGCTATACGTAGCTGACTTCACAGGTAAAATCCGTACCTGCATTCTTGCATAAAGAGAGTTACACTTAATTTTGCTTCCAAATTTCAGCGATGAAGATCACACAGCGGTGAGCTTCGAAGGCCAGGAGAGCTCACTAAGGACGTGCTCCACATATATGGGTCACGACCAACCTCACCCCCTCCACACTCGACCCTAAGGGCACTCATCGCAGACTGCGAGGCCAAGGACATCGGCCTAATTGTGGGATGCGAAGCCAACGCACACAACAGTCAGTGGGGAAGCACCGGCACCAATGAACGGGGTGAGTCCCTCTTCTGCTATATACTGACCACTCAGATGGTCATATTAAACCGGGGAAACGATCCCACCTTTATTATTAAAAATCGCGAGGAGGTCCTGGACCTCACACTTGCCTCTCACACGATACAGAACAACATAGTATCTTGGAGGGTCCTTGAAGAACACTCCTTCTCGGACCACAGGTACGTGGAAACTGTTTTCTCAATCCAATTCCGGGACCTCAGGCAGACAAGCTGGACTCGTTACTCAGACCACCTGGGACGTATTCTCCCTGAGACGCCCCCTTGGACACTCGGGAATCTTGACGAGACTCCCGAAACTACCGGAGGGGACAGATTACTGCATACCGAGTGATCACCTCTCGACGGTACCTTCCAGGTATCAATCCCACTCAGGGAGGACTGGGAGAGGGGCGAAACTGGTCCCGCAAATGCGATCCACATATACACTGATGGCTCAAAACTAGACGGCCGTGTGGGTGGTGGCGTCTACTGTAACGAGCTCAACATTAGTCATTGTTTCAGACTCCCGGATCACTGTAGTGTGTTCGAAGCGGAGGTTGGAGCAATAAACGAGGCTATTTCTATGGTCTCCAAACTTTCTTTAGCCATACACTCAGTGTGCGTCTTCTCAGACAGCCAAGCAGCTCTTAGAGCACTTGGCTCAATATCGTCGAACTCAACGACTGTTAACATATCAGGTCTCTTTATGAGACCGCAGAGCATTTAGATCTCTCCCTAATATGGGTCCCACGACACAGGGATATCCACGGGAATGATGCTGCCGACGAACTAGCCAGGCAAGGTACTACCACAACTCTCCTACCGGAGAAGAAGCAAGTAGTGATGCCTTTGGCTACGTGTAGGCTACTAACACACGAAGCTTTCGAGCTAATTGCCGACAGACGATGACAGCAAACCATCACTGCCAGACTGTCAATCACTCATAACGACTTCTGTAGAAGCTGTAGGGACAAGTAAGAGGAGGAGTCGGTCCCCCACTTCTTCTGTCACTGTCCGGCCCTGGGAAACCATAGGCTACGGCTCTTGGGGCTCCTTTCCTCACCGAAATTTCGGACCTGTCCGAAAATAGACCAGGGATCTTGTCCAAATACATCCAAGCCACCGGATGGGACCTCCCTTAACTCCGCAATTAGATTGCTCACTACGGTTAAGGGGTACCGCCTTAACCTAACCTAACCTAGTGCTAAAGAAATTCGTCGTAGGTTAAAAATTGTATTGTA